AGTCGCCGTACGATGCATATTGGATGCAGTGTGAATCCAGCATATGGGTTTCATGACTAGAATCGAAGCGCCATCTTAAGACTATAGCTACATTTAACAAAGCAAGCAGCTTTGCAAATGTGTAATATTCTTCAATATGATTGGTTTTTGCTTTTGGTTTCTTGTGGACTTAAATGTATGAACCAATTGTATTGAAGAATTTAATAAAGTTGTAAAGTGACTTTCTCTGTCAATATGATTGGTTTTTGCTTTTGGTTTCTTGTGGACTTAAATGTATGAACCAATTGTATTGAAAAATTTAATAAAGTTGTAAAGTGACTTTCTCTGCTGTGCGTGCGTGCGTGCGTGTGTGTGTGTGTGTGTGTGTGTGTGTGTGTGAACGCAACCTATTAAGCCCATGGCACACAGAAAACGTAAGGCCATAAACGTAATCAGTAAGCGAATTGACCAATCACAGTTGAGAATATAGCGGCAGCTGCTTACGTTCTCAACTGTGATTGGTCAATTCGCTTACTGATTACGTTTACGGCCTTACGTTTTTCTATGTGCCACGGGCTTTATATTTAAAATAATTTTAAAAATAAAGGCCGCAGCACAGACTTTTACATAACTCATAATACATTATGGCTATAATTGAAGTCTCGTTACAAATGCTTTGAAGCGTTTGATTGACCAAGGAAGAATTTTACAAATTTTGATCAATCAAGAAACACTTTAAAGTATTTGTAGCATCGCGTTGACCGTACCCATAGGCCCGTATTCAGAACGCACTTTTATCGATAAAAGCGCGCTTTTATCTCTGAAATTCTATAGTATACGTGACGTAAACTATAGCATGTTAGCGCGTTAACATCGTTGTTAGCGCGTTCTGAATACGGGTCATAGTGTATAAAAGAATCAACAAATCAAAATGCTTCTTTTAAAAATTCCATCAAGTGGGGAAAAAGGAAAGAATTCTGATTGATTGATTGATTCAATTTGCTTATGCATTTCGCATAAAGCCCATTCTACAATGGGCAGTACGACAGTAGCAGTAGTGGATTAAGCCCGGATCCTCATACGGGCAACAGCGCTTTGACACCAAACGCTGATTGGTGAAAAACCGGTGGCGAGGGTAAAATTTACCCCCATAACCCGTTTTTCACCAATTAGCGTCCGGTGTCAAAGCGCTGTTACCCGTATGAGGATCCGGGCTAAGAAATAGGTATAGAAATCAACAAGTTATAATCGAATGTGGAGAGGATAATTAACTATCATTGGTCAATTTCTAGGCTTACTCCTTGATCCACTACTGCTACTGCCCATTGTAGAATGAGCTTATGCGTTATCAGTAATCTTATGACGTATCGTAAGAATTAGTCAATCATAGTTAAGAATGTTCAAAAACTTTCAGCTCTTGGTTAACTCTTACGGTAAGTATTATGGGCCTTCTACAATAAGCCATAAGTCATAAATCGGAAGTAAGAAACTCAAAATTGACAACTGTGATTGGTCCATTTCTAGTTTATGACTTATGATTTGTGACTTACGGCTTATTGTAGAAGGCTCATTACAATTCGTTATGAAAAGTATGTGCGAATTCCCTTATTGCTCATCATTGGCTGCGTTCAGTAGAGAAAGCAGTTTTGCAACTGTTGTAAAATTTTTTAATATGATAGGTCTTGCCCTTACTTCCTCATTAGATCTAAATGTATAAGCCAATCATATTCAAGAATTTTACAACAGTTTCAAATAGCTGCTTTTCTGCTGAACGCAGCCATTGGTCACGTTCAGCAGACTCAACTGTTGCGGAGCGGATCCGTGAGCGCTCACTGCTATTGGTATATTCTTTTAGATCATCCAATAGCAGTGAGCGTTCACGGATCCGCTCCGCAACAGTTGAGTCTACTGAACGCGACCATTGTGTATCATGGAGACACAAAATTTAATCATCATATTATTTTAAAGGTACTTTAAAAGAACAAAGATATATTTCCTTGTTACATTATTCTATATAATAGAGCCCTGTAATTACAACAATTATTAAAAATGTATAACACAAATAGCTCTAATAATATAATCCTCTCGAATATAGTCCTGCAGATTTGCTCACGTCAGTTCAAAATTGAATGTTACATAAATATTGCTACATATCATTTTCATGTACTTTTTACTATCCATAGCGTCAATTTTTATCATTGTTGTATTTATTTTGTATACATTTAGTATATGCATATAGAAATATGTAAACGTTTATGTTACATTGCAGTAATATATTATTAACATTTTTAATGTAAAAGTTGATATCAAAGTTGCTGACATATCAGTAATATTTATTTTTATAAATAATATTACATGTAACGCTTCTAACGCTCGTGTAATATTATATCTACATCTAAGTTACACGATTGTGGTTTGTTGGGTTAACTTTTATAAAATATTGTAATTTATGTAGTATGTAATTAAAAATTTTTTTTAAAGCAGCTATAATTAATTTTTTCTTTATAATTTATCTCATTTTGTATTCACATATATGTATAAAAATATACATTATAAGAATACTAAATACATAATAAAATATACGACAATAAAAAAATTAATGATTTACTAGGGATATTTTATATTTTATGTAAAAGTAATCAGATTATTAAGTATAAAATGTTTCGTAAATTATTGGATTTTTTTTTAATTAATACTTATATGAACAATTTTTAGTCACACACACACATACAATCCTTTGTTTGAAACATTTTTAATAAAAATCATTGTACTATATTTTGAAAATGTGTACGGGTAATTTTAGATACTCTAGAGTAGCTATATGTAATGCGTTGATGTTTCCATTACATATGTATAATATAATAATAAAAATTATTTTTGTGCGAAATTATATATAAGCAATTAAGATCCAGTTAGACTATCATAGGATTCGATTCGTGTTAGTTATATAATAATAATATTAATAATTGTTGTTAAATTCAAGAACCATAACTTTACAGATAGTTTCTTGTTAGCTAAGTTTATAAAAAATCACACGGATATTTACGAGTTAATATATGTATATAGAATATTTGTTCAAATCTCTCTCTCATATTATGTTCTTACCAATTTTTATGAGAACAGTTATTATAGTTTTACGATTCTTTCTAAAATTGCAACTTAGTTCTCACATTATTTGTCGTTAGCATCAATAAATGACAGTCTCTGATAATCGAGATTCTCAATCTCTGTCACACGAAGGACAATGTAGAAATAAATCCGAGATTATTTCAGACAACCTTGAGATATATTTTTCAGCAACAGTGGTAGCTTTATGCGAAAGAAGCTGAGCCTGAGAAAACTCGTTCTCGTTCTCTGATAAAGTCAATTGATGAGTAATTCCTTATGCTTTATGAAATGCGAAAAGATTCTCTTCTTCAAGCAGCAAGGGATTTAAAAGGCAATTTTTAAGAGATTTACTCTGCTAGCATCCGTCGCTTTCTTCCGTTCGGATAATCGAAAATCTGTCGACGGAGTAATCTGTCATAGTTTGTCGAGTCAGGCATCGCCATCGTCGCGAAGTATTTTGTCTTATAGTATAATACATATACCATCACTGCGTCACGAGAACGAACGAGTTGAAAATTTTATTTTGAAAGCATAATTTGATTCGATGAATTAATTTATCATTTTTTTGTAGCGTGATATCTTAAGGCTCCTTGAATAGCTACCATAGCTAGATATATTGTAACAAAAATTAATGTGTTTTATTTCTCGCTTCTGACGTCATAGTTCAATATAGCTGCGATGACTACTCAGAAATCTTAAGATGATTTAGATTTCCTTTATAATTATTGACTCGTAAGGTCGTTAGTTTAATTTGAAGAAAA